ATATATACATATATATATAGTGTTTTACGATATGAACAAGAAGAATATCGGCGAATTGGAGGGGGTTTGTTATAAAGACAGTAAACATGCTATCAAGTGTTATAATTCTGCATTGCAATCTGTTCACCTTCATGCCCAAGTGCTGTGCCACACACGCCCGCGCACACATGCACTTACACGCACGCCCACACACACACACACACACACGCACACACACACNGCTGGCATACGCGAAAACTACTGAGTTTTTTTCCAATTTTGGGCGGTATACATATAGCGTATTTTATAACGAGTTGGACGTATACTTAACGTATTAGTAACGTATATAGAACGTTTCGATAACTTATAAGATAACTTATACTAACGAATGCTTAGCGTGTTGCCGGCGTTCACAACTTATGCCCAACGATAGTCTAACTTGTGCATAGCGCGCCGGCAGCGTATCGCGACCGATCACGTGTCGTAGCTCTAAAAAGGCTGCCGCTCGACGATTCAAATCATAACCGCCACTAGACACACAGTATCAACATCACCCGTCGCAGTATCAACATGCCAATACCATTTTTATATACCAATTCCCCTAAACGCTGCCAATACGCCATTATACGGTAGCTGTAAGTTAGAAACACGTTCAGTAATGCTGTGGGCGTCCGGCACACGTCAAATACGTCTACATACGTCAATATGCGTTGGAGATAAGTTTACACATAGGTTCAAAGCACGTTACTCATAAGTTAGAAATAAGTTTTGGGTACGCTAGACATTATCTCGACGTATGTCGACTTATGAGTAACTACAAAACTAACGTGTGTGAACGTGTGTCAACGATCGCATAACTTACCTACAACTTATGGCCGCGTATGCGGGACGTATGGGCATACGTGGCATACGTCGCGAAAATTTTGAGCATGCTCAAATTTTTAGACAACCTCGCCGTACTACGACGTATACCAGCGTGCTTCAGCGTGCTTCAGCGTGCTTCAGCGTGCTCTTAACTCTATACAAAGCTTACCCATAACTTATTCGACGTACGCCAGCGTATTCACCAAATTTTTTATACGTCCGGCATACGTGGCTAAATCGTCAATGTGTGACAGGGCCATTAGCAACAATTTTCAGGATTAACGTTACCGGCCGGACAAAAGTAGGCTACAAATTTGGCATGGAGTTCTTTCGACCCATCTACCAAACCTGAATTGACACCTCATTTGTTCATTCACAGCATATATACGACATTACCTTTTTTCTGGCGGTCATCTTGCGATTTTGGCCGCCATCTTGGAAAATCGAAACGAGCCAGAAGTGGGTTCCACGGATAAAATCAATAATAGGTCGAAAAGAAGCTCCATGCCAAATTTGGTACTTTTGTCCGGCCGGTAAGGTTAAATTTGCTAAGCCACCAAACTATAGCCATCGATCTTGCATCCATCGATATATCATGCCACGCTGTTGTAGTGCTTACAAGTGTAAGGTTGTTCCATGTGAGGAGTGAAATTAAAGCACGAAAGATTACTTTCCATCGGTGAGACAACATTGAAATAGCCTAGTCATCGTCTAGTTGTTACATAATAGTGTTCTTGACAGTTGGCATTGCCGTTGAACGATAGAGATTTGTTAACATTTGTTAGCGCCAAATAATAGTATAGTGTCGAATGATATATTATACGAAGGTATTAATATACCCGACGTACGTGTTACCGAGTGATGCAAAATGGCATTGCGACACGACTGTCGGGTACCGAGGAGTTTTAGAGAAATTTTGATACGTCCGGCATACGCTGTCTAAATCGTCAATGTGTGACAGGGCCATAAGCCACCTGACTATACTATGTATGAATGCGAAACTATATATGCTCTATGCTCTATGCAGAGGGCTATGCTATATGTACTCTGCTCTGCTATATATACATGCTCGAACTATTACGTCATCATCGGAAACATCAGACCATCGGGGGTACTAAGATAGATACGGCTGCTGCTGTTCTAGCACCTATAGCACAGGTGTTCGCACGACGTGCCGTCGCCACGGGCAGCGCGGGGTCAGGAGGTTGGTCGAACGTGGCACGTACGCAGCCAGGCGCCGCCACGGCGCCGGCGCTTTTTGAGATAACATCTAGTGGAAATTCTCAGTGTAAACAAACATCAATCAACGTCGGGAGTACTAAGATGGATACAGTAAGTTGAAGCGCACGTCACGATTGCAGGTAGACTGGTACGGACCTTAACTCGGCCAAGTATCCTTCGCTATACTCAACTTATAGTTAGTGCAGCGTGTGGAACTCTCCACCGCGCAGCAGTCTATAAGCTCAATGGCCGACCCTTGTGTGAAAAAATACCTTGAAAATGCCTCGTACAGGGCCTCGTCGCACCATCTATGGGACGCCATATGTACAAGAATAATTTCACGGCGTGAAATGGAAGAAATGCAAACTCGCTTTTCTAGAGGAAAACCAAACGTGCCGACCAGCAAACGAGCAATTACGAGCATTTGTATTTATTTTCTATCTACGTGCATAGTCAAAAGGCTTGTGGAATTGCCACAACTCCTCAATTGACCGATTATACTGCTTTATCCTCTTCCCAAAGGGCACTGTCGAAACTAGTGTTCTAAACAGGGCAGCGAATTCGATAAAATGTGCCGCTCCGCGGCGCTGTTCGCGCTTCGCGCGGATATCCGGCTGCAGATCGTCTAGGTGTGCCGCCTTGGCAAATTCTTAGGTGCATGGTGTGGGGGATTCGTAACGCGTATATGATTGACGAGGGAACATTAATTTTATATACGCTTTAAAGAAATAAACCACGTACACCTGCATGTGATATTAATCATTATTAAGGATATACTCTCCACCTTTTGCACGGGTATTGCTCTAGTGAAGATTAAACGTTTATTGGCGAATGAATTGAATCAATTACTTGTCTTATTAGAGGAGATATATTTTTTGAGAGAGATCGAGGAGATAAATTTATAGAGGAGATATAATTTTACAGAGATATAATTAGATATATCTTTAGATTTTAGATATTTAGATTTTTAGATATATATATAATTAGATATAATTTTATAGAGATATAATATAGGAGATATAATTTTTTTTAGAGAGAGGAGATAAATTTATAGAGGAGATAAATTTTAGAGGAGATATAATTTTATAGAAGAGATAATTTTTTTTGGCTTGAGCATAGATATATATATATCGATCTCTATGCTCAAACCAAAAAAAATCATGAAATTTCCAGCACCTAATTATGTTACCACACAAATTTTGAATTTTTATGTAAAAATGGTATTTTGGATATTTCTCAACTACCAGAAGGAGTGAGGATACAACATTTTTGCCACATGTCAAGCACAATATGGACCAAAATAGTGCGTCTGGATTTTTCTTTAACTTTCATATTTACCGAGAAAACTGGAAAAAACTGCTTAAAAATCAAGTTGTGTGTTAGAATTGAAAATTTTAGCAAATAAAGAGGCATAACTAATAAAATACGGCACTTAATAACAATCCCTGACGCACTTCTTTACAGCAATATGTTACCATTAAAACGAGTGTAAAATTAAATTAATCCGAGTTGTAATCACAGAGAAATATCCATTTATACATCGGCTACTATGTCAGAAATTGAAACGGAGAAATCATCGTTTTTCTATTTTTCACAACGAGTGACCGCCTGTGTGCAAAATGGGTGAACGTATGTTAAATATCTACTGTTAGTACTTACTACGACATATCCATGATATATATATATATAT